AGGAGTAAGTACCTGAACTCGTAGAGCCATCACAGCAGACCAAGACCCCATCTCTCACCTGCACTGTCTCTGTGTTCTCATTAACCAACTGTCATGTAAATTGGGTCCACCAGTCTCCAGGACAGGGTCTGGAGTTAATGGGAATGATACGGTATAACGAAAACATTAATTATAATTCAGTTCGCCAATCATAAATCACCATCAGCAGGACATCTCCAAAAGCCAAATTTTCTTAAAACTGAACAGTATGCAAACTGAAAACAAACCCATATACTACTCTACCAGATAAACTGTGATAGAATTCCAGTGTGATCCAGTATAAAACCTGCTTACAGAGAGCTCAGGACCAGCACACAGTACTAAGGGCCAACAGAGACTCACCATTGCAATATTCTAGAACTTAGTTTTTACTAATTTTAATGCACCTGAATATTTTTGAAGTCCTGTTTTCCACAGTAATGTTTATTTTTCTACACAATTTGCGATCTCATCTGAACAAGATAGAGAACAACAAACAGGGTAAACAGGGCTATGCTGAGGGTACCAGAATGAATTTGGAAGAGATATAGAAATCAATGGGAGTGGGGTCTCCAGATTTGTAACAAAGCTTAAATTAATTCTCCAGCTAGAGCAGAATTTAGGATTTTAGTAAGAGCCAACATATCATGCAGGACTGATTAGACTGATAAACCATTAAACTTGATTACCTCCATCTCTCTATCATCCTCAAATGAAACACAAACATCTATTCCATCATTGAACTTGGTTATACTCTGGTACTTATACCATGGCACTAAAGCAGCTAGAGATAGCAGCTGTGTTTCAGGGGCTGCAAGATTCTCTTGGCTAACATAATGCTTAAGGTGTCCTTGAGCATCAAGTTCCTTTCTGGAAATGCTGTCAAATCACATTGTAATTTGTAGGTCTTAGGATCTATTCTGGTATTCTCAGGTCCCTGGTGTGTAGTCAGTTTGGTTTGCTAAAATAAAATACCCTACCTCTACCAAGGTATTCAAACACATTTTAAAAATTTACAGGATTTTAATTTTATCATGTAGATACATTTCTCTTGCTATTGTTTCCTCCACAGACTTTTTACTTACACTGATTCACTTGCAAATAAGTTTTGTCATCTCTGCAATGATATCTGAGTCACAGATCCCTGAACTGAATATCAGATATTCCACATTGTGGCATTCAGAGATTCAGGGTAAGGTTTGTATGTTGTGGGCTTTCCTGCATCACATTGTGGTGCAGATGGTCCTTTTATTTATGTATTGCTTTCATTGATTAATCAAGAAAGAAACTACTTGGCCTGATAGGAAGAACTTAAGAAGGTCAAAAAATAGAACTGAATTCTGGGTTGAAGAAAGCAGAGACTCACCATGAAGACACCAGTTCAGACAAGCTAAAACTTTCCTGATAAGCCACGACCTCGTGGTGAACACAGATAAATAGAAATGGTTTAAATAAATATGTGAGATTTAGCCAATAAGAGGCTAGAGCTAATGGCCAAGCAGTGTTTTAATACAGTTTCTGTGTGATTATTTTGGGTATAAACTACCCGGGTAGCAGGGACAAACAAGGGGCTGCCACTCCCTATAACAGGAAAGTCTGGTGCCCTCCCTACTACACCTAGGTTGAGCAAGGTATACATCCAAAGAGAATAGGATTCCAAGAAGCCAGTACATGCAGTAGACACAAACCCAAGTGTTACCATCAGTGGTCCCTCAGTCTTCCACAATAGTCACCAACATTCAGAATGATTTGTTCCTGTGCTCATTCACTCCCAGACCAGTTGGATTTGATGATCTACCATTAGCTCAGGGAAACTGTCTCAGTGGATAAACCCCTCATAATATTGAATTCCTTGCTCAAAGTCTTAATTCTTCCACTCTTCAGCTGGATCTTGGGAGCTCAGTCCAGTGCTCCAATGTGGGTCATTGCCTCTGTATCCATCTGTTGTTGGACGAAGTTTCTCTCAGGTCCCCTCAGTATTGGAGCAGGCTGTGTAGCAGTGTTCCATGGAACTCACAGACCCATGGTCTTATTCTATGTGTCATTAGCATTGAACTTGTCTGTGAATAAAACTGGGAACAGAATTTTAAAAAGAAATCTATTGAGGTATTTTCAGCAAACTACAATCTCTGATAACTAATGTATATCTTGCTGTACATCACAATAGCTGTCTTGTGAGTAAACACTGGTGAAACCATTGTCCTCTATGATAGTAACACCTTCATTTCTCTCCTGATTTCCCATCAATATTACATCGTTCAATTTTACTATTCACTGTGAGATTTATATACTGAAATATTTAAGTTTCTGGATGATTTCTCCTGGCGTTTTCCTCCTTAGAGGGATGCTAACTGAAAAATTTATAATGGATTTTATAATTTTTATATTTTTCTATGTTCATAGCTTGCTTGCCTTTAGCTTTCCTGGTCAAAGACCTGTGTCTTCTATAGTGGGAAATCTACGGTATAAATGATCTTTGCTTCCTACTCTCTTGAAACTCAGCAGATATTCAAAAATGTTAATTAGATGTGTTTTGGAAAAAATTCATAAAACATAAAAATTTATGATTATTGTCATGTGCTTCCTCTAGAGATCCTACAATTGTCTCATAGACCTGGGAGGCCCAGTAACATACCTCTTCCTCCTAAGCACTCTTACTGATGGGAATACCAAATGCCTATCCACTGTTCAACCAGTATCTGGTATTTCTCGTCCTGGGACCTCTTTAATGAACAGTGCCCAAATAATAAGCACAGACTATCAAGGATCCTCCATTTGTGTCACTAAGCCAGCACAATGCAATGAATGATCATGCACATTTTATTCTGTGCACATCTCCACTAAGGAATATTCTCTCTCTCTCTCTCTCTCTCTCTCTCTCTCTCTCTCTCTCTGTCTCTCTCATTTTGTACTTGTCCCAAGCTGAATTTATTATTATGGTAATGCAGTGTAGCACCTATAATAATGTATATTACACCTTCATGAGTATTATTTTTACTGACGGTTGCATTGACTACCTCCTGTATATCACATTTAGCAAAAGCTTATTTAAGCATTTGTTTGGAGATTGGTTTTCTCTTTAAACCGTTCAGTTTTTCAGTAGGCACTATTTTTCTTCATTTTAAAAAATTGTGTACTCTGTTTGTATACATTTAAATATGATCACATCTCTATGCTATTTCCCCTTCAACTCTCTTCCATATTCTCAGCAGTGTAGCACCTATAATAATGTATATTACACCTTCATGAGCATTATTTTTACTGACGGTTACATTGACTACCTCCTGTATATCACATTTAGCAAAAGCTTATTTAAGCATTTGTTTGGAGATTTGTTTTCTCCAAAATTTTCTCACCACTTCATGACATGTAGAAGATCAGTTAATGTTGGCGATATGTGCATGTGTGTGGAGACAAACATTCCTGCCTAGGAAACTACCAATCACTACAGATGCATTCTTCTTCTTCAGGAATTGTCTGCATCCAACATCTCCTCAGTAAGTGGTAAGGTAAGGGAATTATCTCCCCTAGGGTTTAAACTAGTTTGGTCTTATGTAGGGCTTAAACATGAAACAGCAGTCATTATGATTCATAAATGTGATTACCATGTCTAGTACACAGGATTTCCCAGCTTTGTTCCCTATGGTCCACCTCTTACATTCTTTCTGCCTCCTCTTTAGCTGTGTTCTGTGAGCATAGGAGGAATATGAATAGAACTAGAAAATTTATATGTCAAACAATGTAATAAAGATTGGGGGAACAAACACTGCCTTTTTTTGCCAAATTCAGAACCTAGATTATGTGTGTTTGGTGTTATGGCTTCAGCTTTGTAGATTTTGGAACTAGAATGGAGACCCTAAGAAAGAAAGACATCTCAAGTGAGGAGCAAAGGGCATCAATGGCAGAGGTACATAGATGATTTGAAAGCAAAAGTGAGTTGTGATGAGAGAAAGGAGACAAGTAGGAAGGAAATAACAGACTTAAGAAATGTTAAAAACTTAAAAAAAAACAAGGTCATCCTAAATCTTATTCAAAAGTTCAGTTAAGCTAATTATATTAATTGGAAAAATGAAAATGTGGCTAACACAACATAAAAGCAGTCATGAGTTACCTGGTGTAAACAAGGGAGACTATAATGCAGAGTGTTTAAAAGCATCAAAGAGAGAACATCAGGAAGCAGAAAAGTGAGTATGATGAAAACAGAAATGTGTCTACATAGTAACCACAAAGAGGTAGAGAGACAGTGACAAGACACATCTTACTTGTAGGTGTCCTATTGCCTAAGGACAGCATTGTCTCAGAAGTAAGAAAATTCAGAAAATTCCAAACTGATCCCATCACAGTCATGAAATTCTGTGACCATTACCTGGAGGGTCAGACCCTATCCAGAAGACACACCAGCAAGAAACCATGTCCAGGCCATACAGAGGGACAGACTGAACTCATGTCACACAGACATGAGTGTAACTACTTAATTATACATTTATACAAAGGAGACATGACATCATCGAAATAAAGCAAATTCTGTGCATATGCCCAAAAGAGAACAAAACAAAGGGTGATGAATCCTTATTCAGGAAAGTGTGAATACCAAACTACAATATTGTGTTGGTTTCCATAAATGTCATCATTGACTTAGAATACTTTTGTCTGCTTTGAGAAATACCTTCCCCTGAGATCTAACTCCAAGGCTTAGTATAGCAAGAAGACATGCAAATAAGGCTTTTCTGTTACCATGAAAACCAGACCTGTTGATCCTACAGATCTGACAGTGAAGATCAATCCTGGCTTCCCAAGTCCCCCCATTCAGTGATCACCAATGAACACAGAACACTCGTCATGGACTTGGGGCTCAGCTGATTTTTCCTTGTAATTATGTTGAGAGGTATTTCATAGAGATAAGATGATGTGTGTTGTTTGGTCATGAGAAAGAAAAAAATGGCTCCTAAACAGTTTCATCACCAGATTTCTCTTTGCTTCAGGTGTCCAGTGTGAGGTGCCACTGTTGGAACCTGAGGGAGACTTAGTACAGCCTTGGAAGTCCCTGAAACTCTCCTATGCAGACTCTAGATTCATCTTCAGTGACTACTGAATTAATGGATAGGCCAGGCACCAGTGATGGGGCTAGAGTGTTTAGCATTCATTAATGGTCATACTAGTTCAATCTACTATGTTGATGCCATGAAGGGCCAATTCACCCTCTTCAGAGACAATTTCCAGATCACTCTGTACCTGTAATGAGAAGTCTGGGGTCTGAGGACACTACCATATCTTACTCTGCAAAGCATGCTGTGAGTGAATACTACTGTGACACAAACCTCACTACAGAATCCTAAGGACCAGGAGAGGGTACTTAAAGCTTACAGAACTCGGGATTACAGAAGAACTTCTTCAGAGAGACATAAAATCTGAACACCTCTGTGTCTTGGCTCCCTCTTCACATAACATTCAGGATTCTCTCGACATGTCCAGTGTGTAGTAATTATCAAAGTGCCTAAATGTTTATTCAAATTTCTGTTTTCTAGTGTGATTATGTGTTTTTTAATTTATTTATTAAACTGTTTTCTTCTGCTCTCTCCACCTTCCTCCCTCCCCCTCTCTGTGTAAGTGTGTATTTGTGTACTTGTTTATATTTGATTCATTCATCTATCAGCCTGCACCATATTTAGAAAGACAACTTCTATCACCTGGCCTGGATCTTACAAATGGCTAGACTGGTGGGCCAGTGAGACTCAGTGATTATTCTGTCTCTACATTCCCCAGATTGGGTAACTTATTGGTTGCCATACAGCTCTTTTTGCAGTCTTGTAGACCTCAAATCACAGTTTAGATACGAATCAATAGTTCTGCTATGGAATAATCTGAAGCGCAGAGCTATTTTTGCAGTTCCATTTAAGTGGCCTTTTAATTTAGGATATTCTCTGATATCAACAAAAGCAAATATTCACACTGAGAGGACCTCATTCCTTATTTTCAAAGAGGAAAGAATTTCCTAGCAAAATATTTTAAAATTCAAAACACAGATTAGCAACACTTTCCTTTCCCCCTCCCACCTGGGAGATTCCAAGCACAAGGTCACTTAGCCAGCCAGTCACTTGGTGATAACAAGTAAAACAAGAAGAAAGCTGACTGATCAGGATAGGAGGGGGTAGAAGGCCTTCCACCCATGCCAAAGCAACTTCAGAAAACCTCTTTGTAGACTGCACCTTTTAAAAACTAATCCTGCCAAGGAAGCTTTAGCTTCTCAATCTACCTTGTTGTTTTGGGGTAGTAAAGAGGAAGTTCCTGGCCAGCCAGTAATTGCCTGTAGTCACTTGTACTTGCAATAAAAGAGTTAACCTTGCATTTTGCAGTCTGATCCACTCTGCTTTCTGGTGTTCTCCTTGTGGGGGGCGTGCTCTGGGCACAACACACACAAGGTATAAGTGATTCTGTGGTAACCAAGATCTGGGTGAAACTAAAGAACCTGGAGACTCTAAATCCTAGCCTTCGGGCATCTCTTAACTACAGGTGAGTCCCGAGGACACTGTGACCTCTGTTTTTCACCACAATCACTACAGCATCCATACAGAAGCATACACAAATAATATAAAATGAAGCATTTAATTAAAGGTTTCTCATTTATTGCTGGGAGGTAGCTCAATGGGAGAGTTCTGGTGTAGTATATATGAAGCTTTTTTTTTTTTCCAAAAAGTACCATTTCAATTACACATTCCTCATTTTCACTAAGAAATCCTGTGTTTGAATTTTTCCTACGCCTGGTTAAAGGTTAGGATATTTTTTTCTCATCAAAATAATCAGACTCATTTTTCTTCTCAGAAACAACTCTTTTCTATCATTCATCTGAGGTTTGATTCCATAGGACAAAACAGAACTCAGGGAACACGGAGTCATCTGGAGTAAGATGCAGATGAGAATTGTACCAGGATAAATCAGTATTATTGAGATATACTGTGAACGAGCTTTATGTTTTGTTTTTAAGCAGAATGAATGTCATAGGCTTAAAAGGAATATTTTCAAATAACTTAAGATTTTAGCACACATATCTTTTGCCCCAGTATGTGTGTGTCTGTGTAGGTTTATCGTTGTTGTTATATGTCTTTTTGTCTTGTCTATGTCTTAGAGTTAGCATGTTTGCTTTAGAGTGGCATATTTTCTCATACTATATTAATAGTTTACATGTCTGAGGTTACCACAGCATCCTCTGTCCACAGAGCCCAGCTCAGGTATCAGGTATCCTGGGGAACAGGGAGTTTGAGTTTGTTTCAGGATCAGGACCTCCCTTTCCTTTATAAAGGCTCTAAACACAGTCCAGCTCCATTTCCTGCCTAAAAGTCAAATTTACCTTCAGAACATCAGTGGCTGAGAACCCAGATCAGCAGCCCCGTGCCTCCTCATTTCAGAATGTGGCAGACACCATATTACTCATGAGCACAGTCCACTCTTATTTTTACCTTTTAATTCTGATGAGTGGTGTTGAACCTGAATAATGAAATTTCAGAGAGTGCTATGGGTCTTTAGAGTAGATAATGATGTCATCATTTCATGTAGTCCATATTCTGTATAGAAAACACAAGCTGGGAAAGTTTATTCCTCTCTCTGTCTCTCTCTGTCTCTCTCTCTCTGTCTCTCTCTCTGTCTCTCTCTCTCTTTATATTTATATATTTCTGTCTCCCTAAATCTAATTCCTTTGGTTTTGTCCTTCATTCCTTAACTTCTGGAGACTGATTCACAGTAATTCACAGAATATTGGTCTTACATTTTTTTTCTGATGTCTTACATACAGTCATAAGTACCGGCATCAAGAAGAATTTGGGGAGGTTAATGCTTGTTTTAGAATTGGATTACCCAATACTGTAATAAAACTGTTATTTTCTGTAGGAAAATGTTTTGTTTTAAAAGATAGGAGAGTGAATCTGTATAGGCACTGGGATCATATCCTGAAAGGGCCAAACTGTCTGGAAATTGTGAAGGACTAGACCCAGGGCAGTCTTAATATTCACCATGGTGAGAGCACAGGGATTCAACATAGACCCAACAAGGAAATCAGGCAGGGTCAAAGATCCAAGAACACTGATGGCCTTCACTCTCACCTTCATCCTCACAAAATATGTGCACATCAGACACAAGTGTGGAACTGGTAATAAAATGTGTGTGAGGCTCCATCATCGAGACTGTGAGGACAATGCATCCAGTGTCACTCACTGATCTTCAGTTAGCTGCAGGCAGTCCCTAATCTACTCAGAGACAGCATATCCTTTGTTTTCTTCTTTAATATTTATTTGTTGTTTTACTCATATAATTACCTAATTTGAAGGGCATAGGGAATTTTATTTTAACATGCTCATCCTCTTTCTTTACTGCAGGTTCCTTCCAATGGCTTAATTACACTGCCTCTCAGCAAACATGATGGGTAGTCCCTGTTGTAAAACCTGAGACAGATTCATTATCTGCAACTCAGGTCTACTCAAGTTTAGATTCTACAGAGAACTGCACAGTGTTGAATATTTCCAGGACACAACCAATTACTGGGTAGGTTTTCTTGAACCCTATCTTTGTTACACTGCCCACCATGAATATGAGATTTGTCCTGAGTATAGCCTCCCTTTTGATCCCAGGTTAAGATAACACAAGTAACAGGAGAAAACAAACAGGACATTATCCTGCTCAGGAAAACCATTCCAGACCTAAGCCTGCTGCTCTGGAAGAGTTGCCCAGTCTAGGATTTTCAGTGGTCACTGAACACAGACAATTTACCATGTAATTTAGGATGAGTTGGGTTTTTTCTTGTTCTTTGCAAAGCAATTTAGGACAAAGAAGAGATACTTGGTTTGTCAGTGGATGTGAGTGAGAGGGAAAGTGGACATGTATAACACTTTACTGCATAGAACTTCGGTGTTTATAGGTGTCCTGTGAGAAGTGCAGCTAGTGGAGTCTGGAATAAGATTGTTACAGCCTGGGGCATCCCTGTAACTACACGATGTGCCTCTAGATTCACCTTCAGGGATTAATTTATGCACTGGATCTTACATGCTCTAGGAAAGGGACTAGAAAGGATCTTATACATGTAAGACTGGTGTCTCAATAAAATATGCAAATTCTGTCAAGGACCAATTGTCACTGGAGACAATTACAAGAACACTCTGTACCTTACAATGGATAGTCTGAAAGTACTATAAACCAAGTATTGCGGTGTCAAAAGTACATCGAGGAGAATAAGTATGAACCTAGAGAGTACCATCCATGAAGGGCATCCTTATGAACAGAAAGGAGAGGTGAGGAAGTAATAATGTCAAAGTCACCCTGAACAAGAGCAGAGGGGCATGAAGAGCTACACTCCATATGTGTGACCTGTCTATGCACATCACCCAGAAAATCTCTCTACAAGCTTGGTGTGTAGACATATTTGAATTGGTCATAAATAAAAATGTATTTTCAACTGTGAGGTGAATATATATATATATATATATATATATATATATATATATGTGTGTGTGTGTGTGTGTGTGTGTGTGTGTGTGTGTGTGTGTGTGTGTTTACACTCTGACCCAAAAGAGATGAAGGAAGAACATCACACAGAAAAGAACTGGCTCTACATTGGGCAATGGGATCAGGTGGTGAAATAATCTAGGACTCTAAATGGTGGGCTTCCCTAGATTCAGTCAGAACCTCTGTTGGGTTTCATGGTTGAAATAGGAAAGGCTTCAAGTATGATCAGTTACTCATGAATCTTGGAAAGCTTTACACTCAACATAGTCCTCACACAATGTGTGCACATCAGACAAAACACTGAACATACTGTCTAGCTTGTCATAGCTTATGTGGAAAGTCACTGATCCTGAGAAGGCTCCAGCATGGAGACTAGGAGAACAGTGCAGCTGGTGATAGCAGCTGAGACTCAGATATTTGTCATACTCACCAGGTAGGGCATCTTTGTAACTCACCTTCCATTCTAAGACAGCTGCTGGATCACTCTGTTGATTAGAGTGTGCAGGACCTTCTGTGACGCTAGGACATCTGTGTGGGAATAATTTCTCTTTACACCTCTCCTTTTATATAGTTATGTCTATGTTTTTTCAATACAGACCACTG